CTTGTTAAAAAAGTATATGGAAAAATAAAAATCAAGTTTAAGTCATTTTATTCGACTTTACGTCTGTCCGCCACAAATATTGAAGTCGTAATATCACTAGATAAACGTTTAAAGCACATAAAATCATATTAAAATATATACAAGTATGTACTGTATTTACAGTACACGCATTCGTAAATTTAGATTACTTTTTTTGTACTATATTAAAAACTAAAATTTATTTGTTTGTAAGCTTAAAATAGATTTTTATTAACCATATATTATTTAAAATGCTTTCCTAGTGATAAGTAGATTCGGAGACAGGTAAATTCGACTTACGTCGTTTTCCTGGAACCAATTACCGACGTAAGGCGAGGTATACCTGTATATACAAGATTTCAGCAGGACGGAGTATTCAAAATTTTCAGTTGCAAAAGTGCTGTTTTACAATTTGACTAGAATTTATATTTCAAATAAATCAAAAACATCAATATGAAAATACGTACTGTACAATATAATTCAGATTAGTGATAAGCGATCCAATGATTGGTGACCGTTACTTTTTAATCCTAGAATTTTTCCTGGTGATCAAAGTTTCACTACCACATAACCAATTATAATCAAAGTTTCATCTATGATAAGTCATCTATATTTCGCCAATCATAAGTCCAGGGATGTCAAGAAGGGGAGCTGGGGACTTTTTACCCGGACCTAGAGAAAACTTAGGGGCTCGTAATTGTTCCAAACTCTACAAAATTAACGTTATTCTTACTAACAAAAATAAAATCTTTAAGACTGCTTTTTATTAATAGAGAAACCTACGTATTTATGTATTTCATTTAGTTCAAAAAAACAAAAGCTTAAAGGAGATAGCTCTACCCTCGCGCTCTCGACGACCATGTTCATGTAACTATGTGAATTTTTGACTGCAATGTGAAAAAATTGTAGACCTATAAATTCCCACTGTAGTCCATCTGTCTTTCCTTAATCTCGAGAACAGTTAGATAGATGAAATCCGACACCAGATATGGAAAGCTTTAGGCCCCGCTTAACTGTGTATGAACTTCCGATGTAAACTGGAAGCCACGTTATTTCAATTCAAAAAATTTCCCCTGTAAGAAGTGAGATGATGGCATGACTGTTGCTAACAGGAAAAGTATGATGTACAGGGGCAAGACACTAACTTGAGGCGGAGAGCATATATTTTAAATTAAAAAACTATGATATAAAAATTGCAGCCCGGTATTGTGATAATGTCACAATAAATAATTGCTCGTTGTAACTAATATTTTTATGGTCGGCTCTTCACCTAGTTACAAAAATCACCGATCACCGAATATTGAAATAGCGTTCATCACTAATTCAGATTAAACCAAGGGGAATGATTCCTATTTTTTAATTGCATATTGAAACAAGGTAAAATTATGTTATGGTTAATCTATGTACTGTACACTTGCATTTAATATACAGTCTATGCATTGTAATTATACAGCGATAACATAAGAAATTTAGCTGGATAGTTTCCGTTGGATTCATTTATATCTACGTTATGAAGCAGAGAGGATCATTTAGATATGCTTCAAGAGCAACACTTAAGGAATCAACATCTGTAAGAGCCAATGATTTGATATGTGAAGACCCGGAGGGAATTCGAAATTTAGTGTTAAAATGTTAATGAATATCCGACGGAAAGTTAAACTCTCACCTTTCAAAAATAAATACCGACAGAGAACTTAGTCTCGCAAAGACAATAGAAAATTTTTTTTTCTTTCTAATCAAATAGGTAAACAAAAGGCTGGAATTATGGAGGGAGATTTCAAAGTTCGAAGGAATTCAATCTAATCGGTATCGGATTGAGTGTTGATGATGACCTCTCTCGCGCCCCAAAAGATTTTGAATTGTCAACTGGAGACAAGGGAAGACCAATTGAAATGCGGAATCAAGGAGAGAAATTCTTTAAAAACTCCTATTTCAAGGACACGACGTTCTTTTCTCCAAGATCCAAGATCCACCAGGATACGTCCCACCGCTTAACAAAATCCAAGTTCTCTAATTGTGCGTTCGAGCAGCCAACTGCAAAAGAACGCAGCAGTCGATCTCACGTACCAATCTGATCCGAACTTCTTGCGAGCCTCGGGGCCATCGACCCTATCGATGACCATCGTCGAGGGACAGAGTGACTACATCCACAGTGACTTTCGAATTTCTCTGGACTATCTCCACCAACCAACTAACCAAAGGAATATCGTAAAGACGAAGTTAACAAAAATTTTATTTTATTAAACGAGTTCAAAGTGTAAATGGTAAGCCTGTCTCAATGTCTAAATCACACCCACATACGACTTTCTCAACACCTCGACCAACCCGACAATCCCACCCAGTCGGCAACCCTACATATATATCAAAACACTGATGTTAAATGATACTATAATAATATTATATCTTGGTTGTTTTCAGTCAAATTAAATGTATTTGTCACGTAAATTTTAATGTAATGTGATTTATCTCTTATAACAATAATGGCAAACCTTTTTCGGACAGTGGATCAAAATTGAATTTAAAATTTATTAACTTCAAATTGAGTAAAAGATATTTAATTTGAGTAATTGAAAGGATAAATAAAGTAAAATTTATAATTTTTGTTATCTTTCAATCCCTATCAACAAACAATAAACTTTATATAACTGAAAAGAAAATAATAATGTGATTATAAGGTTAATACATATTTCCTTTAATGGGAAATCTCTTCTTGTTTATCTCTAATGATAACTTTTCTATCTAAAGTTCATAATTAGTGGCCTTTAAGGCTTTTCACGACAGCTTTAGGACCCTGCTTTTACACTAAACAGTATATGCAGTTTTAAAATCTATCAAATATTTTTTTTTTATAATTTATAAAAATCTGATTACTAAACTTAACTTTCTAAACATTCAATGTGTGTATCTTGAATGTTTGGAGTATGCAGGTTGCTGTGTGACCCACTGATCACAGGCTTGCATTCAACAATTTAGCACTATTCCATAACATGACAATCGAAGAAACACTGCTATTCCAACAATAGGAAAAAAGAGTATAGTAATGTTATCAAATCTTTACACTCAGAATCTCCAAATGGTCAAATATATTGCACCATCCATATTGCTAACATAATACCAAGATCAAGAGCCAAGTGGCTAGCCAGCTATACTTTGACTATTGTTACATAGCCTCATTTAATGTTTGATAGAACACAAGTAAAATATTAGAGATTATAATTTATTTATTATCACCATTAAAGTTAAATTTATATAACAATAGTTTATAATTTTCTGATAATTATCTCTAACTGAAGACGTTTCCATAATAGTCCTTATTTTCAATCATAAAAAAAAAATAAAACTGAAATGTTTGTTTCCATTGTATATCTAGTTTATTAAATTATTTGGAGTAATTTTAATTCTTAATATCATATGCTAATTTTAAACTAGGAAATTTTATGGATACTTTTTTTGAGAATTACAATGGTATATACAGATTTACAGAAAAAATTGTGAAAATTTGATATTAATTACTACGTTACAAAATCTTTAGCATGTTTTTGTCTGTAATCAAAGTACTGAAAATAACCTGTTATTTTTCTCAAGAATCATTTCCTAGATCCATATCTGGATTATATTGTACAATTATAGGCTTACTCAACTTTTCTTTTACATTTAAAATTTTTCACAAAACATGATAATGTCGAAGTTTTAAAATTAAAATTAGTATCAGTAAAATTATTCACACGCTAAAAAATAAACCTTTCACATATATATAAAGGGCATGATAATTATTCTAAAATGCATAAAAATAAATTGTTTAAAAAATATTAGACAAATTTAATTTTATTATATACATAAAATTAACAGAGATGATTAAAAACAAATGTATACAAGCTGCCTAACAGTATTCATAATATAGGGAACAATATACATCAATATGCAATCAAACAATAACAACATACATAAAAATTGTGCTAAAAGCTTTGGTAAAAACAGTTTAAGAATAAATCTGTATGACAAAATATATTTAATATTGTGCAATAATATTTTTAGTCAATATTTTAAAAAATATAATGATTTGGCAATTCTATAAAATAAATATGGCATTCAATACTTTTCATTTAAAGAAGATATATCACTTTTAATACTTATTTCATCTTCAATTAAACTTGAAATTTCTTCTTTGCTTGTGTAGCTCAATTCCTATTATTGAAAATTTTTAAATATTTATATCATAATAAAGAACAAATTATAATTGATTTTATAAGAAATAAAATAATAAGTAATGACTGATTGATTAATAAAAGGCATTAGTATACTGTACATAATGTACAAATATTATTGAATATTTTTCAGACAAAATCTAATCTTCAAAAAGTTTATTGCTATTTTGTTACTTTATAGAAACTTCACAGAAACTAATGAACTTTTTAGTTACATTAAAATTTTTATATTTTTTAAAAATAAAAAGTTTTGAAATGTGTTTTTTAAAAATTTATCAAAACTATTATGTAGCTCGAAAAGCTTGTTACATGATCTTTAAAATTTTTTAAGATTTTAGATTTAAACATTAACAAAATATTTTTTTAAAATATGCATAAATCATAATTTCAATATGGCTATACTGTGTCTATCATTTGGCTGTCAAACAAAGACTTCTGCCTTATGCTATGAGGGATATGGATTTGAGTCCAGACCAGACCATAACCTTAGAACTTTTTCATGTGTTGTTTGACTAAGGATATATTGAATTCTGTCCTTGCCATTGTTGCATTATGGGTCTACTCAGAATCAAGATGAGAATGAAGGTCCTCTTAATGCCTGATGCTTGGAATATATTGGATTGAGTCATAAATAAGTTTGGTTTACAGCTAGGTGTAAATGACTGTCAAATACTTGCTAAATGATCTATCCCTTCAACTGAGTTTTATTAATTAATTAATGACTATTAGAAAATAATCCCTAAATGTAAATTTTAATACTAAAGCATGAATAATGTAATAAAACATTGTTTTTGAATTCATTTAAAATGAAACATTTAAAGGTGCACATATATGCCATATCATGTTGTGTAAGTTTGAACTCAGTAATAACGCTACAGAAATGACAAAAAAGATTTGGAATGTCTATGGCAGTAGAGTAATTTTAGACAGAACAATTCAAAACTGATTTACTAAATTCTGTTCTGGTGATTTGTCCGTAAAAGATGAAGAAAGACCAGGCTGCTTCTCAGACTTTGTTAACCTTTTAAACATCATCATCAAAGTTCCAAGGATAAATTTTTTTGATTAAATCAAATTTTGACCATACAAATAATTTTGGGTCAGTACAAAATAATTCTTTCTTTTTTTTTTAAATAATCCATCGGTCTCTAGCTGGATTATTAAAAAAAAGGATTATTTTGTACTGACCAAAAATTATTTGTATGGTCAAAAATTGATTTAATCAAAAAAATTTATCCTTGAAACTTTGTTATTCATGTATATATGTTAATTACAATGCTCTCTTAGTTTTCCACCAGAGGTTTGCAATGTATATAAATACAACTGATTTGTACATGAGTGACATTGTGAAGAATTTTTAATGCTGTGTAGTTGACATCGGATCCTCCAAGAAAAGGTCAGCATCAATTGTATACTGTACGTATTTTTTAATGTCATTTCGTCGGTTTTTAAGTTGTTGACCATCTGTGTCTAGCTGGATTATTAAAAAAAAGGATTATTTTGTACTGACCAAAAAATTATGGTCAAAATTTGATTTAATGTTTTAAAAATCCTTACTGAGCAGAACCCATGGCAAACAACAAGGGAGTTAGCAGAGGAGCACACATCCCAATCAGCCATCAATCATCACCTCCAAAAACTAGGAATAGTGAGCAAGCTGAGAATTTGGGTTCTGCATAACTTCAGTGAACAGAATAAGGCCTGACAGAAGATTAATAGCTACTCCCTTGTTTTCTTGGAATAAAGAGGAGTCTTTTGGCTAAAATTGTTATGAGTAATGAAAAGTGGATCACATACAAAATGTCATTTAAAAAAGACAATGGGTTGACAATGATGATTGGCCTCAACTGGACCCCAAGCTCAGTGTGCATGGAAGAAAAATTTTGTTATGTATATAGTGGGATTGTCAAGGAATTATCCATTTCAAGTTGTTGCCACACAATAAATTACTGCAAATGTATATATTCAACAGTTAGAGCAGTTTTAGCTAAAACTTCAAGAAAAGTGTCCTGCACTTGTTAACAGAAAAAAAATCTTATTGTATGACAATACAAGGCCACACACAGCAAAGATTACACAAGAAAAAGTTTTGGAGTTTGGCTGGTCTGTTTTGCCTCATCCACCAGATTCACCAGACCTGACACTAACAGATTTTCATCTTTTCCAGGCACTGCAAAATGCTTTATAAGGCATCAATTACAAAATAATGACAGGTCAGGAGTTTTTTGATTCAAAACTACCAGAATTTTATTCAAGGGGAATTGACAGTTACCAAAAAAATGTCAAGAAGTCATCAATAATGACTGTGAATATGTATTAGATTAAAGTCTATTGTTGCACATTTTATTGGGAAATAAATTTCAGTTTAGAAAACCAAACTTATTTATGACTCAACCCAATATATACACTGTATTCTCAAGTGTTTGGATACCCCATACTTCCATATGTTTGAGCTGTAGTATGCAAATATCCATCTCCAACATTATAAATAAAGGTGCAGTTGAAATAGCGGTAGACATTCCTTTAAATCAAAATTAGAAAATGAGTTGAAGAAAAGAGTTAAGTAACTCTGAACAGAGCATGATAATCAGAGCTTATCAGTTGGTCAAACTCTCAAGTGTACAGTAAAGAAAAATCATCAGTCATCCCCGCAAACTGTCACAGAGGAATTTTATATGAATTCAGGAACTGATGCTAGTAATAAGACAATTTGCTGAGTTGTGTTTATCCTTGGCTCTCATAGTTGTGCTACAGCTCATAAACCACAGATTACAGTTGCAAATGCATACTGTTATTTAGACTGAAAACATCATCATTATTGAACAATGGAAGAGAGAGCTGTGGAGTGATAGATTGTTACATGATCTGGCATCGTGATAGATGAGTCTAGACACAATAGACACCTGACAAATACTACCTGCTATAATGTGTTGTTTTAACTGTAAAATGGGGAGGTGGCAGCCTAACAGTCTGTAGGATCTTGGTATGGGCTAACCCACTGGTTCTTGTGTCTGGATCTTTAAATTCTGATGCCTATCAAGCTATTTTGGACATCTCTGTGCTTCCCATACTGTGGCTACAGTTTGGAATAGGCTCTTTTTTGTATCAGTACAATAATCCATTGTATAATGGTTCAATAATGGCTCTATGGACCTTGCTCACAAAGCAAGGTCCATAGAGCCATTGTTTGAGGTAAGCAGGTGTCAGTGATTAGTTGGCCAAAACCAAGACCTTAACACAAATGAACATCTTTGGGATGAACTCAAGCAATGGTACTTATCAGACTTACTGGCTGACTACTGCTTACTGTTCAGTATGCTACAGGAGGACAGAATATAAGAAAATTCCAGTAGCAGTATTCCAACAACTAGTGGAAAGCCTACTGTAAAGAATAATATAGTGTATGTACGTATTTGGCAATATGTACATATGTATGTATTTGATATTTTTAGTTTGAAAATAATTTTATATCTAAAACTCATTATTTACAAATAAGTTAAATTTTGATTGTGAAACAAAATAAATAATAAACTGTACTAAAAAGTTAAAACTGAAAATTTAACAAAATAAGTTTTATTAATTCCAAAATGTACTCTGAAATATCATTCAAAATTGATTTAACTTACCACATTTTCACAGTTAGAGCCATATAGAATTTGCTTTATATCTTCAGGAACAGACCATAAACTTAAATTATCACTGCTACCAGATTTATCATTTTTTGATGTAATACTTTGATTTTTATCTTCAATAACAATACCTGAAAATTAAGAAATATAATAAATATATTTTATACACACTATAACAACCAAATAACAAACTGTGCTGTCATTCTGGAGTTCTGGAGACCCAAGTTTGAATGGAAAGATCAAATTTCTCAGAAACTGTCATGGTTAGTTTGACCCAAATATATATCATGTAGAGTACCATACTTAAACATATTGTGGGCCTGGCTGAACCCATGTATCTATTAGTTCAAGACAGAACAAGAACAAGTTATATATATATATATTAAAAACAGAAAACATATATATATATGTATGTATGTTTTCTGTTTTTAATCAAATCTGATTTTAGTCAGAAAAGAATCTAAAAAAATCAAATATTTAATATTTTTCATTTTCCATGAAATAATAATTTTAAAATTAAATATTACTACATAAAAGTACATATAAAAATATAAATATCTTTAAAAAATTTATTTAATTATTTATAAAAATTTACATTTCTTTACTCAAAAATAAATTATTTAAAATTTGAATCTTTAATTCACTTTTTACTGTAGAGAAAAATTTATTTATATAACAAAGTACTAAAAACTAATATAATTTAACAATTACTATCATTGAATTATATCACTTGAATAAAGTGATATTACAAAGTGAATTTATTATGCTATTCCTAATCCAAGAAAAGGTCTGTTTTGCAATATGTAAAATTATTTTTAGTTTTATTTTTAACATTAAATCTGAAAATGTCTCAAACACAATAAATGCCACCACCACTACAACACCAATAAAAAAACAGATAAAAATACATGAAACAATAGATATTATTTAGAATAAAGAATTCTTTTACAGAAATTTAGAGAAATCAAGTTTATAGTTTATCTTTAATTTTAGTAACAGATTCTGCTGACAATAGAAAAATGATGTAATCTTTACATTAAGGAGACAGTATGGTATATAAATAAAAGAAGACAATCTGGTATTAAATGAAAGTAGAGGAATGCACTGTATATCTGTGCAGATAAGACGATAGTTAAATCATAAAAAAAAGGCCCCAAAATCCAGGGTCGTCTTATAGGACAGATACCAAAAAAAATTAGATTGAAATTTATATAAATTAAAACCATTATAAAATCAAACAAATCACTCATCAATGTATTTAAATAGCCCATACATTTTTGTGAATAGTCAAGGTCATTACCCAAATGCCCAAATCAGTGCAAATGTTTGCAATAATCACAAGGCAGTAATGTCAGATGCAAGAAAATAAAATTTGTTCATTCGAAAAATTATGAATAGGACATAATTCTGTATATGCTATGCAGTATTATTATCCAGATGATGATCACTGATCTAAACTAAATTCATAGGCCGTTGATAGTTTGACTTATTTTATAGGACAGATATTTGATGAAAATTTATACCTCGTCTTATCTGCTCAGATATACGGTAACTATAGTGAGAAGGGGTAGGTCATTAAAATTTTTAAATAGGTATAAATCTGATCAAAATATTCAATATGTTTGGTTAAACTGGAAAGTCTAAGATGAATTCATGGAATATCATTAGATGGCAGATGCAAAAGTTTGTTATGTTCTAAATGAAGTTTATTTAACACTGATGGAGAGGCTGAAGCTCATATGGGTAATGCATAGTCAATAACAGATTGGATGTTAGCGAAAACTAAAATAGCATGGAGAGTATTTTTATTTTATATATTTTTAAAATTATGCCAGAACATACCTAGTCAGATGGAAATCTTTTTAACTAATCATTTTTTTAAGAATAATGTATACATATTATTCTTTTTAAGAATAATTAGAATACATAAATTATATATAATTTATGTATTCTAATATTAGATTTCTATTAATATTAATATTAGATTATTTATATTAGATATTAATATTAGATTCTAATTACTCTAATATTAAAATAAACAAATATTTTCATATTTTATTTTAATGCAAGAATACTAACATTCCTCATTAAATTTCATTACAGCTTAAAATTAAATGTTGATTTTGACTCATCCCACAATCTGGGTTGAGATCTCATTACTCTTAGTGATGACCACTTAGAAAGTGAGGATGAGAAAAGATAACTAATCAAAATGGGTGATCAGGGACAGAAAATGATAAAACCTCTGAAGTTCAAGGACAATAGAGCTTCTCTCTCCAATTTCTTCTAGTATAACATCTTACTTCATCCTCAACTCAACCTGGACTGATCTTCTCATCTTCTCAACAAATTTCCTCACAACAACACCTCAGGGCAGCCAACTCAAAAGAGGACACTGAAGGATCCTTCTGTGGACTATCTCTCCTTAGAAAAAAGAACATGAAGATTTACAGTCTTCACCTGCTGATCCAAGAATATTATTGCTTTAAGCTTTATTTTGTGTTTAAATAAATTAGGACAATTTTCTTTTGTAACTGTTGAGTCTGACTTGGTGTCTATCACACCCACATACGAATTGGCACCTCTCTTCTGTTCTGACTTGAGAGCACAACTTGGCAATTTTACAGATTTATTAAAAAGTAATGAAATAATATTTATTAAATATCTCTTAAACTTATCAACATATAATGATTAATTTGAAGAATACTATAAAATACTTGATGGCTATAAATATTTGAATAATATAAAATATTTAGTAAAATTCTTAATGGTTATGCATAAGGACATCCTGATAGTGTTGATACTATTACTATATTGATACTTTCCTTCAATACAGATTACTTTTTGTACTCTATACTTTTGGTCCAATACCAATTCTGACTTTTCCTTGGATATCAGATCCAGTACTGTTACATTTTTCACAGACAGGTAAGATCCAACTGAAATTGGATTTTGCAGCTGAATCTAAAACTGAAACCAAATTTGAATTTTAAAGTCAGTTTGGGTCAAAACCAAAACCAAATCTTATACTACTTTTGGTCAGGGCTGTGGAGTTGAAGTCTGAAAAAATGTGTCGACTCCAACTCCTGCATTTTAAATTTATTTTAGTTTTTTTATTTAAACGAAAGAAAATTTATTATATATTTATTAATTTTTTAAAATATTTTCGTATTTTGTTATAATTCATTCATTTATCAGTCAGGAGTCAATGCTTAGAATTCAGATTATTATTTAAGTTATAAATAATTCATCAATTCTTCGAAAAACTTAAAATATAATAAAATCTCAAATCAACCAATATTGGTAACATTTAGTTTATATTAGAAATCAGTTTTAATAATTTGTTAATAATAACTAACTTACTATTAACTTAGTTATTAGAATAAAGCATGTTATTTATGTTAAAATTAAAAGTTTCAATTACACAAAACATTTCAAAATAAAGCCACAGTCTGAATAGTCACAGCTGACAAGATTTCTAGTTTCAATACCTGATGCCAATACTGGCTGGATTAATACTTTAAAAGTATTCATGATACCAGTATTGATACTTTTGTGGTATAAAGAGGTCCTAGTTATGCATAGTAAATGATTTTCTATTCCTACCAATATCATGTATAAAATTCAAAATACTATTAGCAAAACTAATAACTATAAATAATTGTTTTCTTAATACTTTTCCATATCTGACTAAAAGTTAGGGTAGAGAGTTGCATAATGTTTCTTTCAAATTAACCTTTTAACTTTTTCACCAGGCAAACAGATATCAATACAATAGAAGAATCAGAATTTTTTCTTTACATTTTTTTTACAATTATTTTTATTTATTTATTTTAATTAAACAACACTATGGCCATTGGCCTTTTCCAAGTATCAAAAAAATATATATATACAAAAGATAAACAATCAACAAAACAAAAAAAAAAAAAAACAGCAAAAAGAAAAAATACACAAAACTAAACACAGTTCAATTTTTTAACAACTTGTTTAAATTGCCCATAAGTTCTCAATCGTTATATTTTTCTTTTAAAGCATTCCAGTTATATATGAATTGGTAGATTGATGCGTCTCAGCCAAAACAGTGCTTAACTTTTGGTAGAATCAAATTATTTTTCCATTGATAGTTGTAGTTAGAGGGCCTAGAGTGTTTATTTAACTCATCACTTATATAAGATTCTTTCCTGCCAACCAGCCTTTATTAGTTTAAAGCTGTCTAAAAGAACTTGTTTTTTATATAAAACTTTTAATTTGTCAATATTGGTCTGGTTATAATAAGAGTGACAGAAGAATTATAAGGTAACTTGTATAATCTAATAAAGTTGTTTTGTGTGACTTGCAACCTATTCAATACAAAAGAAGAAGCTGTACCCCATACGAAAATACCATATCGAAGTTTGGGTTCCATACTAGCGTATAAATGCAAAACAGTCTCAAAATATATGTAACTGAAAATATATGTAACTCATTATTCTTTTCAATATTTCAATAAATCTAGATAAAGACAGTGTTAGATTATTTATATGATTGTTCCATCGTAATTTATCATCAATTTCAATACCCAAATATTTTACATTATTAACTCTTTGAATATGTTTATTATTAATTCTTACTTGTATATCATCTAAATTGACTTTTTTGTTTTTATTTGACAAACAAATAAACTTTGTTTTATTCTCATTTGTTCTAAAGTTATTATTTGCCACATATTTACTTAATTTAGCCAGCAATAAATTTATATTATTTTCAATTAATTGACGATTACAATCTGCATAGGTTATAACAATATCATCTGCATACAATATATAATTATTTTCGGAAATAGTTTCTATAATATAATTTATGTAAATATTAAAAGTAAAGGGCCTAGAATGGATCCCTGTGGGACACCTTTATTCACTTGAAAAGGTTTAGATATTGAATTTTTTACATTAATGTAGTACATATGATTTGATAAATAGGATATCAGCCACTCCAATGGCACTCCTCTCAATCCGACTTTAAACAATTTTTGTTTTAATATCTTGATATCTACACTATCAAAAGCCTTATTCAGGTTGATAAACACTGCTGCTACTACATTTGAATTATTGAGACCGTCAATAATATATTGTTTAAGATGAGTTAATGCCTCAATTGTAGAGGCCTCACTTTTAAAACCATACTGGCTATTAGATATACAGTGGTACCTCAGGATACGAACGCTCCAGTATACGAAATTTTCAGGATAAGACATGAAATTCGAACATATTTTTGCTCCACGATACGAACAAAAACTCACCATACAATGTTACATTAGTTCGCAGTGCCATTTTTTATTCACTTCGGTCTCAGTCCGCGTGTTTGTTTCATCGTGGAAGGATCTCGCTCGATAAAGGAAATCTTGAGGTATTATCAGAAAGTGACTGATTTTATTGAAAAGAAACATCCTGACAAGGTTTACACTGGCTGTATTGCTTCTTGGAGTAATGACATTTGCCTAAGTCATTTTAGAAACATTTTAAAAAGTAGGCAAAGCCAAACCTCTTTGGATAGATATTTTACCAAGTGACCTCTATCCAGTGGAAGTGAAGGAAAGAAAGCAAAAAGCAGTTGAATAAAAATTTTAAAAATATATATAAAACAACACTAATTTTTTAATCTTTTCTAAGTTATTGTTACACTAGCAGACCCTGCCAAGCGTTGTTGTGGCTCAAAATGTATCTATTATAAATTTATAACACTTCCCCCTTGGGGGAGAATTTTTCGAAAAATTTCTTCTTAGTGTACATTCTCTTGACGTACCCTATTAAAACACAATCAAAAACGCAAAAACCCACATCTAAAATAGTATAAATAGAAGCAGAGTTCTTTACCGTAAGCCTTAATCCTAACCATCTCCCTTCAGTGGGGCTGAATTTCGACATGTATATTACATAAAAACACATGCGTATTCGAATGCAGCGTTGTGTCAAAATTTAAAAGGAATCGGTAGGAACAAACGAACATTACATTTTTATTTATACAGATAGGTAGAAGATGATCTGCTTTAGTTCATTTTCACAGAAAAGCGTAATGCCTCACAGAAAAGCAAACTTAGGGCGTCGTACTTGTAGTGCCATATGTTGGACATAAAAATCTTAACCTAGATGATATCTTTTAATTTATATAAATGTTTAACGGAATAATATACAGCCCATGTCCACCCTGAAGTTCCATTCTAAATATTGGTGAAAGAATTTTTGAAATCGGATGAGTAGTTTTGGAGATTACCTGTTTACAAACATTACCTCTTTATAATATTAGTATAGCTTATGTTATGTTAGTTAAGTTTTAGTATCATTTCCCTTCTCCCACTCTTCCGCCACCAGTTTGCACCTCCACCGTCGTCTATCCTCAAAGGTAAAGTGCAAATATAGCTGCATTTTTTTTAATCAATTATTATTCTATTATGGTTATTTATACATTTACAACTATAAAATGCATTTTTCAGTGTTTTCCTTACTACAGTTATTTTTTTTAATGTACAACTTAGCTTTAATTTGAGTGTGTTTTTCGTGTTGGAACGAATTATTTGGTTTTACATGTAATTGTATGGGGAAAAATGATTCACCTTATGACATTTTCATGATACGATCTCAGTTTCGGAACGGATTAATTTCGTATCCTGAGGTACCACTGTATTATCTTTATTAACAAATCTAAAAAAATCTTTTATAGAAAGCTATTTCAATTATTTTAGTTATACTCCAAATGATAGTAATCGGACGATAGCTCTCCCAAGTCCTGTTTAGATCCTTTATTTTTAAATATTGGTATTACAAGATTGTGTTTGAGCTTCTCTGGAAATCTGCCACACTTGAAGGATTTATTAATTAAATAAGATAATGGTAATGCAATAATATCTGCTATTTGTCTTAGAATAAATGTATTTAAGTTATCAATGTCCAGAAACTCATAATATAATCAAAAATCTCTTTAGGAGAAGTTTCATCCAAAACAAAAGAATTGACCATACCACATAAAGAGGAATGTGAGATTGGCCTCTTTGTGCTCCTTGAGCGGTAAGGGGCCTAAAACCACAAATAAAAAAAAAAAAAGAGGAATGTGAGAAAGAATTAGTTTTTAATGTTGATGTGACAAAACTTCCCATCGGTCTATAGTGAACAGCAAAAATATTACTTATTTTCTCTTCATTTTGAAAAAGTTTTCCATTATATTTCAACTGATTAATTTGTATGTCATTCTATGATTTATTAACTTTAAAATGCATTTAGTTTCTCTATGCTCTCTTCAGTTAAGAAATATAGGAAAATTAATTGTTTTTCATAAACTCTATCAAATGACTATTTTCATGCAGATAACTTACAAGTTTTAAAAAATTGCTAAAATTGAAATAAAACTTTTTTGTAGCCTGCATATCCTGCATTTCTAAAGTGGTATTAAAAACATGGAATTTAACCAATATGATATTTTGAAAGTATTTTCATCTCAAGCATTCTGTTCTTTTTTTTCTTTTTCATTTTAGTTCTGTTTCACTTCCATTAGTAGTTTATTGTAGATTCAATTATAAAATAATAAAAATGGAAAAATAGACAAAGTAATGCAAAATACTTCTTTAAGGAAACAAAAAATTGGAATTTATTTGAATAAATGAAATATTTCAAATAAAATCCCCTTAACTATATAAGTATTGAAAATGTTGATACTAATTGCTGGTCCAAAAGCTTATTATCAATACTAGTAAATAAAATTTACACTGAAAAGATTAAAAACTTAAATAGAAAGAAATAGGTACAAAGCAAGATTGAAGATTAATTTTTAAACAACTATTTGTACGTGTTATTCAAAGGAAATGTACAAATATTTTTAAAATGTTTCAGTGTACAAAAGATTTTTTACATTTTCTAAAGATGCTTTTAGTGATTTTGGAGAAATGAAAAGAACATATTTAAAGAAATGTTTAATTCAGAATAAATTGCAAAATTGACAGATGATTTACACCATTAGATAAGCTGAACCTGATTTTAAATTACCAATTTAATAGCTAACCCATGGATTATCTGAGTGAAAATATGATACGTTTATATTTTATTATTCTTAAAAATTTGGCTGTTTCAAATTTCTCTTTATTCTAAAATCAAAACTGTTTATAATTTTCATTTATATAAATTTGCATTATTCAAAAAGTTACTTTATAAATGAATTAACAAATACCTGCAGATTTATTTGAATTTGCAATGACCTTTTTAGGAGTATTTTTCTGATCTTCAACATTGAATTTTGCAGTTGGCTTTGGTTTTTCAGAAGTTTTCAAATATTTAATTTGTGCACTCAATGGAATATGTTTAGAACCTGAAAATCAGATAGGAATATTAATAAGTACAATTAATTTATATATTTTAAACTGTAGAATAATTTTGATTTAGTTTTATAAGATTTTCAACTAATATTTTTCTAACAACTTTAAATTTACATTTTATGATATTTATCCAGGAGAAAGAACATTTTCATGTATTGCATATCTTTTACATCTGGTTATCTGACAAACAAAATATTATGGCATGCATCTATCTCATCTACAGAATAAAAAGTGGACAGTCATAGGTAGTCTACAGTTCATCTGTGACTCAGTTTGCTTTATATAACTTATTTTGCTTAATGTGGCTTTATAATTTTTAAATTTACATTACAATGTATCATGGATATGTATGTTAAAAAAGTATATTATATAGGGTTTGGTGTGTTTTTTTAACTCCCTTACCCTGTGGGTACTAAGAAGCCCTTCTAATCAAGTCCATTGTGAGTTTGGCCAGGGTAATCAATTAATCTATTGACATATTCAGAACAGACCCCTAAAAAATTTCTGGGGTTTTTGGTTCATCCAGATATGTTCTCAGAGTGCTTTGCTGAATCATTTCACTGGCAGTTAAGCTCAACTATCCAGCATCAGTTTGTTGTTATTCATGGTTTCAAGCATTTACAGAAGCTTGAAACCTATCCCCACAGATATAGAGAATACTTTATTTCCATGCCTTCAGTAAATTCATTTAATTCTTTAAAGAAAATTTTTAAAATAATCTTGAAATTGAATTGAATTGAAAATAATTTGAATATTTAAATAGTTTTGTTCTTTAAAGAATATATATCATTGCAAACTCTAAATTAATTTAAAATGTATAAATACATAATTTTTTATATACTATAAAGCAGATCCTAAAAATAGAGAGAAAAGCATAATTGTAATAACTGATAAACAGATGTAGAAATATCTCACATGTAAGTAAAATGAATAAAAAATTTATTGTGAGAAAAGATATAGCTTTAGTATGTAATCTGTTCCTTTTTCATTATAATATAACCAGGGTGGCCAAGCTCCTTGATAGTCCGAGCCATTTTTCAAAATTTGAAATTTTTCGCGAGCCGCAATTAAATACGTATAAAAAAGGTATGCAAAAAATTCCAGATTACAAATTATATCCATAGCAAGAGTGATACAAATTGTTTCCTCCAGAGCACAATGTCAACTGTCCGTTGCAATGACAGTTTACAAATTCAAAATCGGTCTGGAGTCGGTCAATAACGGACGATTACACCACTGTTTATGTTCGTTCGCGCAGTTTTTGATGAGTCATATTATTCTTAACTTGGACGGAAATGAAATTTGTTACAACGTTGCACTTAGTTTTTCATATTTGTTGTTAGTAATTTAAAAGACATTTTGAAACACATACGGAACGATAATAGTTTTTTAAAATATAATAACACAAAAATGAAAAGGGAACTCGGGTACATTTATCGAGAGCCACAAATAATCCTTCAAAGAGCCGCATGTGGCTCGCGAGCCGCAGGTTGGCCACCTCTGTAATATAATATGCAATTGGAATTCAAAAGTTATTGATGTTTAGCAAGTAAGATGTGTACAGGTATACCTCTGGTTATATAGTTTTGAGTTAAGTCATTCTCAATTATATGTTGTTTGTCAAAAAAAATATATGGAAAAATAAAAATCAACTTTAAGTCATTTTATTCAACTTTACGTCTGTCCACCACAAATATTGATATTGTAATATCATTAGAAAAGTGTTAAAAGCACATAAAATCATATTAAAATACATACATTTACATTAAATGTTAATATAATCATCATAAATCCTAGAGAACAAAACATGAAAACATCTGTGACTCTGTGTTGTCATTTTATTTTAGTGGTTTTTAAGCACTCAATATTGGCATTTTACATGGTACAGTAGTTCCAATAGCTACTGTTTGGCATTGTTGACAGCGCCACTCGATATTGGTAAATTTAACATAAATTAGTTTATTTTCTACTATCGCAAAATAATTTTAATAACTGTATTTGTTATTTAACCTTACAAAATCATCTTATTTTATAAGATGATTGTCTTAGAGCAAACAACATTTACAAATAAAGAATCTGTGAGGTCAGCCGATTAGAAATGAGGTGTTTTCGACAGCCGAGCGGTCAATACTGTTGTGTGGGTGCGGAATGACTCACCGAGACAGGTTTATCATATAAAACCATTTAATAATATACATAAATCGTTCTTACAACAATCCAATAAGTCGGCAAGAGCCTATCCCATGATGGGTTTCTGTAACAGTTCCCAAAAATCAGAAAGTTCGAATGTTCAATCTGTCCCTGGGGAGCTTTCGGCACTGTGGACGCAGAGAACGATTGATTTTGAGATTTGACAAGTCGAACCTCAGCAATTCTGGAGTGGATGGGTTGGCGAAACCAGTTCCTAAGTCGTCGAAAAAGCCTTCGTTGTGTCTCGGTCGGGAGCACCAAATCCCGACAGGTGAGCACTACACATCAAAACCCAAGACCTCGTAAAGTTCCCGAAAACGCGGTTTTATCGATTTTTCCACCATGGTTGCCTCTCCATTGGTCTCTCTTCGTCACATGGTGACAATTCGAAACTCCAGGAAGGGCGCGGGAGAGTTCAACGTTGCGTTTGAACACGACTCCTCTCCAACCTCGTTTTCTTCGACTTTATCTATTGTTTAAAATCTTTTAACAAGACAAAAGGTTCATTGTTTAAATCCGATCTTTAAGTTTGCTCTTTCGCACTACGAAACTTGACTCATTTAAAAAGTCGTTAATGGTCTCCTTTCGGACCCCATTTGGGTCCTCACAAATCCACAATGTACTGTAAACATCACCAAATTGTAAACATGTATATTTACAAGTATGTACAGTACATACATGCATTTGTAAATTTAGATTACTTTTTTTCTGTACTATATTAAAAACTAAAATTTATTTGTTTGTAAGCTTAAAATAGATTCTTATTAACCATATATTATTAAAAATGCATTTAAATAAAAATACAGAACTGGGAATGGTTATTTGTAGTTTAGCCTAGTGACAAGTAAATTCAGAGTAAGTAAATTCAACTTAAGTCACCGCTCCTGGAACAAATTACCAATGTAAAACGAGGTATACCTGTATATTAAATTTATTAATGCATAAATGTATACCAAATGGAATGGATTGGTTCTGGATTTTATTGAATATCCTATTGTATGAATAAATTGAATTATTTCAGGTGATAGAATGGTCAAAGGAAGATGTTAATCACACCACTTCATTCTATGTATGGTACTGATAATGCATCAATGAATTTGCAAATCTATTAATCTATGCTTTCTTATATTTTGATAGTATATCAAAGGCATTTATCATCTTATGTTAATTTGTAGAGTGAAAATGTATTTCCTCTTTTTTATAATAAATAATTAATTAATATTTAAAATTTAACTAGTGATGTTTTTGAACTTTTATGTATATGAGGTTTTTAATTAAAAATGGAACACCTTGTGCAGATTTGACACCCATGCTCTGTATTGGTTACCATCATTGTTAAGAAAAGACCTCACCACTCATTAAACCAATCAGATTATGTGTTTTTGATGTGGCATAATTCAAAGCTGTGCTAGCTGGCTACATTGGATATATGGTAGTATCAGTCATTGTCTGAAGTATCGTATGGAAGTAAATAAGTAAGTAAGAGCAGCAAGCTATTGTGTACTTTTTCATGGCTGAGAGTGTTGGTATTCAGGAAAATTATCAAAAGATGGTTCTATGTATGGGGATAAGTGCATGTCTCTGATATAGTTGTAATGGAGTAAATGGATTTGATTGACATTACTAGAAATCCAATTCAAATGGTTGACAAAGCCTTGAAACATGTTAAATCCGAGACATTTGTGCCAATTGATTTAATGGACATTCTTAAGAAGGACAATATTCAGTACAGAGTATAATTACACCCAAATCCTGTACTGAATATTGTCCAATTAGTCCAGATGTTCCATTTTTTATTGAATGTCCAATTTAATTTCATCATAATAATTAACAAGTTAAATTACTTTTGAATCTCGATTTTGTGGGTCCAGATATAACAGATTTCAACATACTAAACTAGTATGCTGCTCGTCTTTCTTTTACCCCCTACTACAGTTTGGACAATGACTGACACTACTGCAAATCAATGCTGACAGTTGACAGAGCCTTGAATCATTTCACATCAAAAACATTCATGCTAATTGATTTGAAGAGTGGCAAGCTCTATTTTTAATAAGGATAGTATCCAATACAGTTCAACATTTTATTCCTTAATTGAGCTAAGGAATAATACATAGTACAAGGTACTGAATATTACATTATTTTATTATTACATGTATGATATAAAAAGCAATGGCATATGGTTTGTAATGCAATACTTCAGAAACAAAAATCAATCATTCTTCTGAAACTTTAGCATTACATGATGTTTTTTGTAAACAACCCTACTCCTTGTAAGGCTCTGTAACAATTACCTGCATACCCATTCACCCATATCATTTATACATAATTTATTCACAGTGCATGGACCATTATATCTTCAGATACAATAAACAATTTGCATTATCAGATCATTGTTTCAAGTCTTTTCATCCATTTTATTGAGCATGTACTCCATTGTAGTTTTAAGAGTATGATAAAAGTTAAAAGAAGTTGTTTCACTAATTAATATATAATTATTTTTTCACAAATATTAAAGTATATCATTAACTATAGAATAATGATACAAGATGTAAAATTAGTTAACAAATGAGGTTAAAAAATATATATATTATCTAATTAGGCTTTAAGAATATAAAGATTTTCATATTTTACAAGGAAAATATAAATAAACTTATAAAAATAATAATTTGTTATATTGAAAAATCTCATTTATTCATTTAAATATACAGTTATCAAGCAAACAGAAAACATACATACCATATAATTTTCTCAGTGATTGATAAGCTTTCTGCTGTATGCTAGCAAAATCTTCATCTTCATTATTTTTAATTATAAATGTATCTCCAAGATTAGCAGAAGTGCATTTAGATTTTAGATTTTCTGACTTTTTATTTTTTATACACTTAATTTTATTTGTAAATATTTTAGGAATATTATTATTTAAGAAATATGGATAATTAGTTTCTCTTGCAGTTTTATATGGCATTCTATTTCTTTTAATAGATGATCTGCTGTTAGATGATTTTTTGTATGATTGATATTTTGTTAATTTATGCTCATTGCTACTTAATTTTTTTTCTGTATTTCTTGTTAATTGAGCTTCTTTGATTTGTAAAATATGTTTATCTTCTGCTAATTCATTTAGTAAAGCAATTGCACTTTTTGTTCGTTTATCAAAATTATCAAGTTGCTTTTCTCTTCTGGGATCTATTTTATTCATTTCTGTTCTAGGAAATACTTGTGGAACCTAAATATGATTGTAATAATAAACATTTACATAAATCAGTTCTTGCAATATTAACAACTTTGCACATTTGCACAATATTGACAAATTTGCACATTGCAACAGTTAAATGTGCTAATACAGTGTATAGAAAGTAAAAAAACAAACCAGAACAATCAATAATAATAAAATGCACAAATTCAACTCTATAAAAAATATATTAATGGAACAAGAAAATTCAAAAATAAAAGAAAGGCATTTTTTTAATTTTTATGTTCCATTAAATCATTTTTATCCTATTAATTAAATTATGTATGCAGTATTATAAAATAAATATTATTACTACTATCTAATAATTTGTTTATCATTCTCATTATAAAAACTTGGATTATATAAAATTTATTAATTTACAGAATGTAACATAACTGTATTCTATTACAGTAAACTCTCCTTAAAGCAAACACTGATAAAATAAATTATCACATTAAAGTTTGTTTGCCTTAACCCTGGAAAAATGCCATTGTCACAATGCTAATTTTCACACAATAAAACAAACATAAATTTTATCAGAATCCATTAAACTGAACTGTAAATTACCTTTACTCAAGAAATAACCATATTTCCAATAATGATTTTATTATTCATTATAAAAAGTGTAAAAAGCAAAGTGGTATTGTAATAAATGTTCTATTTTGAGTAGAATAATTTTCTTCTAGTAAGCAAGAACAGGTTTGATCTCCAATTGTAAAGCAATTCAAACATCTGGTTTTAGCAGACCATTCTACTGTATTCAGAAAATACAAATTAAAGTTTAAGAATGCCCATCTCTTTAAATGGATATGGTCCCATGCAAATATATGCTAGTTTGTATATCAAGAGTGCATACAGTGATGCCAGGTTTCGCTACTTTGTGCTAAATTTGACTCCTTTTTTTTTTACTCTTTTGACATCAAAAAATATTTTATACTTTTTCAAACAATCATTAACAGAATAAAGTCATGGATTTTTTTTAGCTTTGTTTTGTTTAATCACTTTGATATACTGCTCCACACTTAAATGGAGAATATCATCTCCTTCTCATTTTGTTTGATTGGAAAATCATTTAGATCATTAATTTATTTTTGTAAATAAATTTGATTTTATTTAACTTTTAGTAAATTAATTTAAAATATTATAATTTAGAGATTTTGATTNATATGATAATTTAATATATTGCATGTATTAAAAATATCGTGTACAGTACTTAAACTTGCTTTGTATCGTCCTCAAATCTTGCAACTCAAATTTCCTCAACTTCTAATTAAGATAGAAGATTGAAACTTCGAAAACATATTTAAGTCAGATGACAATTCATTTTAATGATATTTCAGTGGGTGGCTTCACCCCACCGTTTCTCACCCCAATCTCGAATAACATGATCAATAAAAGCGGTTTTTTTTCCTTTCTTTAATTTCTGTAAATTATATTACCTTAACCTTGACCCTGAAAACCATTAATACAAATTTTTGATACAGTGAACTAACTACTGTTCCCATAGCAATTTAGAGATTTTGATTCCTTATTAATCTTTAATTTCTGTAAATTATACAACCTTAACCTTGACCCTGAAAACCATTAATACAAATTTTTGATACAGTGAACTAACTACTGTTCCCATAGCAATTCATATTAACTTGAGCCGACTGTATTTTAACATTAGCTAAATTAGCATATAGACATATTAATAAATGAGAAGTTATTCAAAATAATTTTAAAATTTTGAAATCTTTAATTGATTTTAAAACTCTAGAGATGTTTAATACTGAAGCAATATATTTTAATTCATAGCATAACTTACAAATTACAATATCAAACAAATATAATTGTTTTGAGATAAATATTTTCTAATAAAAAATATTTTACATTTATTAGTTTATATTATGAACTAATAATACTTTAAATTAACTTAGATATTAAAGTTTGTAATGTAAAATAATTATTAAATTAAGAAATTATGTATAAATATTAATGCTTGTTTTGTTATAATCAATTTATGCAGTGGTAAATATGTTAATTAGCTTTTGAAATCAATTCCATATTTATTCAGAAATTTTTAAATATGGTACTTAAAAAATACTTTAAAATAACTTTTTATTCAAATTTCATACATTTAATGTGGTTTTACAAAATCTAAATAATAATAAGACAAATAAATTCAATAAAATTTACCTTATGCATTTCTGTATTTTTCTCATCTTTAGTATGTTTATCGTGTATTACAGACGAACTAGTTTCTTCAGTAATTGTATCTACAACTGGTGATATTTTATTGGTTTCCTCTGGAAATTTTATTTCAGAAAACAGCCAATTCCTTTTTCTGTAAATTAAAAATTAACAATTAAAATAGTAAAAGAATTTTAATGTTTTTAATATAGACTAATATTTCTTACCTATGCTCTTTATTGGGTAACACAACAGATTTTATTTTATCAATATATGTAGCTGTAGATATTTTTTCAGATAAATAAAAATGATTCAAATTCTCCATTGATGATACAGCCTAAAATTTAACATTAAATAAATTGTTAATTATATATTATGAATTAATGCAATGAATTTATTCATGAAACTTCAACTTTCATTCAATCAATTTATCAATTACATCAATTTATTAATATCTTTAATCTTTGATTCCTTCTTAAGAAATCCTACAATCTTAAAAATGCAATAATTTAACTAATCAACATTGTTTGGATTCTTGGGATCTAGTAACTATACTTTCATTTGTATCTTTCAATTTTAACCTGTTTTTAGAGGTTCATATCCATTTTAATGGATGTTCAAGTATTAAAAATAATTTTTCTTTTATTTTTACCCAGAGGAATATAATATGTAATAAAAAACACAAAACATAATTGCAATTACATTACTTTTAATTTTTCCACTTTTTACAATGAATAATCTTAAGCCAAATATTTTATTGCTTTTTATCTTTTCAAAATGAGTAAGCTATTAATTGTGAAACAACAAAGAGCAATTTCTTTCAGCTATAATGCACAAAAATATATTGCTTTCTGTGTATCTGAATTTAATTTTAGTCTTTTTTTGCATCTACTTAACTTGCAACAAGTGAAGTTGTTGATTAGAGCAATCTCCAGCATGTGTTTTGCTCCTCTGTGATGAAGCACTTGGAAGGAATAAGCATGATTTTGCTTTTTATAGAAAGATCTTTGTGTTTCATCATCATTCTTGTTTTCTGATTCCTCTTTTTTCTCAGAAGCAATGATGGATTTGTCCAAATCAGTCAGTTTTGATAAAGATGAAATGAGGGACCAGAGCAAAATAGTGACAAGTCTCATTTTTACTATTTCAAAAGAATATAGTTTGAAAAGCTGATCAAATTGCCAAATCACATTTAGTAATTGAATGTGTGTTTGCAATTCTTTATTATTGTTTTAGGTTTCCTAAATGGTATACTTGCATTATTTATGAAGAATTATGGCACCCATACTTTATATTGAAGTCTATTCAGAGGCACTGCATCAGCATTTTGTGGCTTGGCACTATCTTGATCCTAAAGAATAACAATAATCGTATGTTGGAGGTTTGCATGTATTTTTCAGCATTTATTCATAAATTTCATATAGTTTTTTCATAATTTCATATAAATTTCATATAAAGTTCAATAGTTTTTTTTTTATAATTTTTAACTTTGAAAAGGACCTTTCACCAAATGCATCTGAAACCGGCAATGTAATTAATATTCTTAGTGCTATTGCTGTGTTCGGAAATGTTGAAATTAAGTCATCAGTAAAAAGATATTGCAATAGGGTTTGTGGATCATTAGACTGGTTTTCTGGAAAATGCAACTTTAAAGTATTGATTTCATTAAACAAATCAATACTGTCAATGTCTGTTTCACTACTTGAATCGTCTTTAAGCTTCAGATTTAAATCCTAACCAAGTTAAAATATCATTAATTATACTTAGACCCATATCAGAAGAATTATTAACAAAACAATTGCAATTTGATATGCGATAGAACTGTTCGAATGCGTACAAGCACAAATTGAGAAGGATTCCCTATTTTTGCCAGTCCTGTCAACTTCTGTCATAGAGCACGACTATGAGCTTTCACGCGCCGCCAAATGGTTCAACCTGCCGACAGACATTTCGCATTGCATCTTAATTCTGATAAATGCCAATAGAGGCACTGTTAATGCTATAATATAAATAAGAATACAGTATAGTAATTGCGCGCCGGTTGGATTTTTTTCTCCGTATGAAGACATTTCTTATGCTGTAAGTAGGGTGGGTATTATGACAATGACTGAATATTACGTGACCGATCACTCGATTTTCCGCCCCCTGGACGTGCTGCCCGTATGCGGTGCACGCCTTGCACGCCTGCTTACTGCGGGCCTGATGGGAGGTTTCAAAAAATGGCTTCCAGCAGTGCTTCCAGAAGTTATATGAGCACTCGCAAAAGTGTATCATTACCCAAAGTGATTACTTTGAAGATGGTTGTGCATCGGCAATATAAACTTTTTAAAGTAAGGAATTTTAAGCCAAGTCCCCGAACTTTTGGATCATACTATACATATGAGGTATATAAGATCTTTATATAAGTATGTAAAAATTATGTCAAAAATGGGATTTATTTTAATCTGTTTGAAAAATTATACAATACAAACAGAAAATTTTTTCAACTTTATTCATATTGGATATAGCTTATTTCATTTACAACTATCTTGTATCAGAGATCATAAATCAAAAAGAATTGCTATAAGAAGTCAGGATTAGCTAAAATTTCTTTTGCGTTCTTTGTTAGAAAAAAGGCAATATAGATATCTATCTTTTAGTAAAATGTACATAATAATTTAAAAATTAAATCATTAAATAAAAATCTTCTATAAAATTCATACTCTACATCATTCTACATAATGGACAAATAACATAAAACAAAACAAATAAAAGATTTTGTAAATCTCTAATCTGTTTAAAATGTTTACAAGGAAAGTACAAGGAAAGTGCATTTAAATAAAATAAAAGAAAGAAAGAAAGAAATTATATCTATAAAATATTACTAAAATTATTTATATACAGTACAATATTGTATAATTTCTACCTTTTGTGCTGAATTAATTTCTTCTTTCATTGTATCTGAAACTTTTTCAATTGCATCCAATTTTTCTTGCATTTTTAATAACTGATGATTAAGAGATTCTTTAGCACTAATTTTATATTTTCCTTTATCAGAATCATGACTTATTAAATATCTATTGAATAAAAATAGAAAATTGCTTTATATTAAGTTTAAATAGATAAATTTAAAGCTTTTTAAATTTACTGAGTAGATCAAAACAAATTGCATAATGATAATAACAGAATAACTGTAAAACAAAAATGAAAGAAAAAAACATTACTTTTTTTTACAATATAATCATAAATACCTTCTAACATAATCCTGATTTCCCACTAATAATTCTTGTGTCAATTGATCACCAACATCACATAAATTTTTCTCTCTTCCATTACTTTCTAAAATAAATTTTTATGTTTAAAAATATTAAAACATCATTATTGATTTTTAATTTTTATTATAGTATATGATACCTGTAATTTTAATTTCTTCTTTCATTTGATTTTCAACAGTATTTCTTTGTAAAAGATTGTTACCATGAAAACTAAAGTTTTCATTTTGAGTTTTTACTTTACATTCAGATTTCTCTCTTTCACTATTTTCTAACATTTGTTCCTCTTTTATTAAAGTTTGATGATTATTTTCATTATCTTTACTTGTTTTCAAGTTATGGTTTTTGCTACTTTCTATCTCATTAAATTCTAAACTTTCATTATGTTTTATTTCAACTTGAAATTCATTTTCAGTATTTACACTTATACTTTTTAAATCAGGTTTACAATTATTATTATTTTCAACATGGTTATCTTCTAAAATTTGTGTCTTGTCTGTTTCAGTTTCAAATTTATTTTCATTATTTAGCCTGGGCTCATTTTTTAACTCAGGATCAATTTTTTCAATATTTTGCTTTGAATTTTCAAGAAGTTGAACTAATTCACCATCAGAGGATAAATTTTCATCTATTAAATGATCTAAAATATTTTTAAAATTTAAACTGTTTACTTGCTTCTGTTTATTTTCTATTTCTCTTTGAATATTTTCTTGTAAAATTTTCTGTGATTCATTATCTGTAATTGGATTTTCGTATACTTTTCTATTTTCATCATCATCTAATAGTGGTTTTTCAACTATTTTATCATAATTTTCGCTTTTATTAAATATTAAAGATGTTTGAATTCCAAATTCTCTAGTAGTTTTATCATTTCCTGTTAATATATAAATTTAATTAAAATATCAATAAAATTACTTATATAAATTTTAGAATAATTAAATAAGTCCTATGTAAACAGTCTAAATTTTATCTAAATATTATAATAAATTAATGTAAAAAACCCTGATAACTATAAACTAAACATTTTGCATTATTGTTATTAAGAAAATTATTGATAATTTTAATAATAAAAAAATATTGCTAAAAAAATAGAAATTAATAAAATGATTTAGAATCATAAAAAAATTAATTATGATTACATCAAAAAAAAATAACATTCTTACATAAAACTAATAAATATTTTTTAAATAAAAATTATCATTATTCATTTGATCTGGCAAACATAAAATGTTTAATTTCCATATGCACATATCTACTTAATGTTTAATTTTTCTTAGAATACAGTTATTGATTTAATCAGTTTTGTGAACTACTGTTCAAACTTTCCCATTTTTTCTTACTAGATAGTAAAACTATCACTACAAGAAAATATAGATTTGTATTTTTCTAATTCATATATTAAGCTTTCATCTATTTTTGTTAGGAAAAAGATGATAATTTTATTCTTTATCTATCTATTTATTATTTGTTTTTCAAATTGATACAGAAAATTTAAGATCTACTTTGTGACATTTTTTAGCTTGATAACTGATTTACAATGTACTAATAGCCTGACACAAAATTTTGCCAAAGAGAGTAACCATCAATGTTCCATCTGGAAGCTCAATTTTCCAATTTTTAAACAGAAATAAATTATAGTTTCTTTAAAATTCTTAGAATAATTCACTAGCAAGCTCTGATACACTTATTTAATACATTTTTAATGTTCTGAACTTTATCACACTTTATATCACATTATGATAAAGTTTCATATTGTTCAAAAAAAAATTCTGAAGTTTTTATATCTAGTCAAAATGAATATAAAACTTCATATCTCAAGTGTATTCTAACATTACATCTGAAATTTGGCTTTTTTTCCCCCAATATTGAAAATAATTATTAATCAACAATTCAGAAATCAAAGAAGAAACTGCATCTGCTTCATTGTTTTGTCATGAAAATAATGAAGCTGGTTTTAAACATTATATTAAACTAATGAATGTTTTACTGTATTTAGAGTTAATATTATAATGAAAACAGACAAATCAGGTAGAGCAAGCAACATGAAGATTGGAAGACATTAATGATAAAAATAATGATCAAGACATGTTAAATTTTGATAAAATGAAAATGTCTGTATTTCATCATCAGATGGTAAAAAATCTGAACAACAGATTTCTATTTATAAAATGAGAAGTATTAAAATTCAAAATCAGAATTTAAAGCTCTGATTTATTTAAATATATTTCTAAATGCATAATTGCTACCTTAGATTTCCATACACTATACCACAAATGTAACTAAAAAATTTTGAATATTCTGAAAAACTGTTGCCATGACTTAATTGACAGCCTTTTATTTTTCAGTAAACATATGAGCAACAAATGTCTTAACAGCAGAAATAACAAATATTGTTAAAATATAGTAAAATTATTTATTTCAATATTAGGATATCATGTAAGTATACTAAAAATTTTCAACAAATACTAGGCTACATTAGCTAAATTGAAATCACATTGATTCAAAAATCAATATTTTGAATGCTGGTCAGCAGTTGTATAGGTTTCCTAATACAGTAAATAGTAATGTAACTTAGTAAAAATTTGAGATGTATCAAAAATTATATTCATAAAAAAACTACTTCCTTTTAAGTCATTTGATTAGCAAATAGAATAATTATAAGGAAAGACCAAAAGAGGAAATTGATATTAGCTGTTAAAAATTTTTAGTAATCTAATTTAGGATCCTATCAAATATGAAGTCATGTCTGATAAAAAACAAGAAAATAAAGAAAACAAACTTAATCTGTGGGGATAAAACTCAACAGATTTTTAAATAGTTTAGAAACAAATACAAGCTTATTATATATAATAATAAAATTATATTTTTAAAAATAAGTTTTATTTAATTTTATTAAATAAACTATACTAACCAAAGAAGCAATTTTCATCTGTTAGTGTTTCAATATTCTTAACTTCAGATCTGCTAGTTGTAAGTGCAGTATCAGCCTTAAAAGAATTATACTTATTAGAAATAATCATATTAAAATATTCCAAACAAAAATTTCAAATTTCAAATATGTTTTTTAACTTTGTAAATGCAATAACTTTTTAAAGATAGAATTTAACATTCTAACAAGTTACAAATTAAATAATTTAGTTTATTTACAATGTAAAGAGACTTTATAGTGTGAATGAAACTTATTTATTTATGATTTACTTTTGTTCACTAGTAAATCAGAACACAGTAAATTAAGAATAAACATTAATTTAATCATTTCTACTCTAATAACTCAATATAAAGATTTTATTTCTACTTTAAAAACATAGAAGTTGAAGTGCTGTGCAAATTAAACTTATTGCATTTGTAGTTATTGTATTATATTTTTTCATAATATCTAATACAATAATACATGAATTGTTTTAAAAAATATTAAACAAATAATATGCTGAAAAAATAAAGCAGTATAATTAAGAATATGTTATATATCCTGGTGACACTGAGCAGACTCTCACAACTGACTTCTTGAAAACTAAACCAGAACAAAGAATCAATGTCCAAAAGGTTTCAAGTGATGAAGATATCTGGCTGCTAGTAAATAAAGAATATCAGTAAAATCTAATTTTAGAAGATAGTAGTGATGAATAAAATTTATTTTTGTGTGAAATAAAAGACTTATGTACAATTCTTTATTTTACAAATTTTAATAAGTTTGTTTTTGTTTTGTAATTCATGTTTTGTTAAATGAAATTTTCTGAATTAAACAAGACTGTTTTATCTTACACGATAAGTAAAATTTGTATTTAAGAAAATTGTTTTAGAATATAAACCCACTTTTTATGTCATATGTTTCACATAGCATGATTTTTATGATATGACATTTTTATGAAACCTAACTATCACATTACATGAGAGTTACCAGTACATTAGATGTCATTTGTGTTAGGTTTATTATGTTAACTTGTATCTAATAGACTTACTCTCTGAAAATAAGATTGGCATCCCTTTCATTTTCAGAGTTTCAGAGCAGAAAGTCAGTTTTCTTCTTTGTTCTTTCTAAATCATGAGCTGACAAGAAATATTTACGGCATAAGAAATGAAAACAACTTTAAACTCACTCATTCCAAATCTATTATTATTCTATTTAATCTACATTAAATTTTGAGACAGCCCCCAATTAATTATTGGGGGCATATCCTTGATTAATCCCTTTGATTGTAGGAATAATAAACAGAATGGCTTACTATTCAACACTTCAGAAAGAAAAATATTACTCAAGGGTGAGACTATCATTATGTAATGTTTTTACGAGTGTAAACACCTCCACCCTTATAATGCATTATAATGATTACCTACATACCTACACGTCCATCCATATCTCCATTTTGACAGCCCCCAATAATTAATTGGGGGCTGTCCCTAAATTTCAAAATGGAGATATGGATGGACGTGTAGGTATGTAGGTAATCATTATAATGCATTATAAGGGTGGAGGTGTTTACACTCGTAAAAACATTACATAATGATAGAGTCTCACCCTTGAGTAATATTTTTCTTTCTGAAGTGTTGAATAGTAAGCCATTCTGTTTATTATTCCTACAATCAAAGGGATTAATCAAGGATATGCATTATATAATTTTGTGGGTGTGTATGTGTAATAGTGTTGCAAATACATTACAGAGGGATGGGATAGTAGTTGAAAAACAGCATCATGTAATTTATGAATGATCCCTTGAATGTTATTTTGAAATAATTTGTACTTAACTAATTTAAATTTATAAAATTTTGCAAAGATTTATAAATGTAAACTGATTACATATATTTATGATTTATAACCAAGGTTTAGATTGATGAAAAATATAATAATTTTAAACTTTAATAATAAATATGAAATACCTTTTTGGTATCCAGTTTTAGTTTAGAGACTACATTGTATTGAATATCTGCATACGTTTGACTGGTCTGAGTTGAATGAAAATGAGAATGTTGTTGTAACTGCTCTAGAAAATAAAATTTTAAAATATCATTAAACATATTTCTTAATCAAATATACAAGATATGGTTGAAAAGTAATGAAGCTAATTTTATTACAAATCAATTATTTGAAATTATTATATTTTAATGCTAATTCCCTTAAAAGTAAGCTCCTTCTGACATAATGCACTTATTCCATCATTTTTTTACATGCCTCATAGCATCCTTGGAGGTCATTTTCATCAAGCTGTTACACATCAATTACAGCTTTTTTGAATGTTTTTGATGGCTTCAAAATAACAACCTTTGCCTTCTAATAATGACTTATGATTGCCATTTGTCAATCTTAAAGAACGATATTCAAAAACATTTTATGCCAAGAAGTCCATGACAGAACTTCATCACTATATGTATTTTTTAATGCATCATAATTTCAGTTGCACTCTTTTTTTTCAATTTCATATAAAATTTCACTGAATATATTGATAATATTCTTTTCTCCAATCTTTTCTAACAGCTATACAAAACATACATAAACTAAATCTTCAACAATACAGTAGAGCATCGATTATCCGAACCCCGATTAACCGTCACATCGGTTAACCGACCGTTCTAGTCGGCAAATTTCAAATGTCCGCTAGTGATGTGGCACTGCAATATTTGGCTATGTCTTGGCTACTTTAATATTATTTTTGTTAAATTTTTGCGTGTTTTAGCTGGCAACACAGCTCAACCATTAAAGGGCGGCCAGTATTTAAACGAGACTTAATTTTCTAATTATGAGTGGTTGTTTGTTTTGTGAGCTATAAAATAATTTAAAAATAATTTTTAACGATACAATAGCGACAATTATTATTTTAAAAAAAAATTTGTTAGGCTTAACATCGATGAAAATTCAACGCGAAGTTGGTTAATAGTGATATAATAATATACTAATTACATGGGATATACTAATACAGGTAGCCCTCGGTTTACGCCGTAGTTCCGTTCCTACAAAAGCTGGCGCAAATCGAATTGGCGTAAAACGAACCCGTATTTACAGTGAGGTATAGGGTTAGGTTCTACATAAGTGAAAAATAAGCTAATAATTTTGTTTATTAATACAATATAATACAAAATACATATAAATTTTTAATTTTTAAAATGTATTTTATCATAAAATAAAGTAAAATGTTTTTATTTAAAAATTTTAGTTTCGAATTTCTTACATTTTTCGGAAAAAAGTATCCATCTTTAATTGTTTACATTTTTGATTTCTTTCATTAAGAATTTCGGAATATGGTCGAATATGATGCTCCTTTTTACATTTGCACTTCGCTCCCAACATTGTCTAACTCACAAACTTCATCCGTCAAACTTTCCTTAGTTGAAAGGATACGTTAACCCGACGTAGAGCTACAGACGAGCGAAGACACTGATTGGTCGACCACCGGTCGCCGTAGCGCATATATAAGGTCAGTTTGAGCGGGAAAATTCAAGGTGGCTAAGGAGAGATAAATATCGTCTGGCCAACGAGAAGTAGATTTGTCTCACTAACGATAATTTGTGATCGCCGGAAGTGCTATTGCGTCGTAAGGTGTTTTCCTGAATGAACTGATACGGGATACATTCATTGGCGCTATGGATTCGGACGCCATTTATTGGACTATTAAGTTTAATATCTTGACTCGTGGGTACCTAAACGTTTAGTATTTTAATATTAATTTAATGCAAATGTATACATACCCAATAATATTAAACAGAAAAAATAAATATATTTAATAAAAATCTTTGTTTTAACGAATGTACAATGTCGCGGCTCGGTAAATACGTCAACACTGAAATGAAAATCAGTCTAGCATAGGGAAAATCGGGGAATTACACCTCGAAACGATAAATTGCGCAGCGGCGTTATTATGAATAGGCGTAAATTGAACTGGCATAAACCAAGGGCTACCTGTATACTATACTAATAATGTATTTTTTTCATTTTTTTTGGTTATCCGATTTTTCAGTTATTTGACCAAAACTGAGTCCATAATTGAGTCGGATAATCAATGCTCTACTGTACTTATTAAATTGATGTGAGAAGATTAAATCTTACACCAAATATTCAGGAAGGATTATTCAATTGACTGTTATGCAAACAAATGTTACAGTCTTGCCATAGTGCTAGAGGTTTAATTGAAAGTAATGAGACTAAATTTATATTATGCCATAGTGCACAATATAAATTTAGTCTCATTACTTTCAATTAAACCTCATATTCTCTCTAATACTTATAAATTTTAATAAAATTAATTTAAATTTAGTTTTCTTTTTCATTTATAAAACAAAGTGAAATAAATATTTCATAGGTATATCATCAACTGATATAATGATAGATATGGAAAGTATTAATAATAATTTGAATTTTTTATTCAAGATTTATAATTTGTATTTCGATATACTACTGTATTTTTTTAAACTCAAAAATAGAAAATTTCTTCACTAAATTATTGTTTTTTAGACTAATAATTTATTTATAGATCTATAGTGATGTTTATAGTAGTATGTTGAAAGAATTCATCTGACATATGGTTTCATCTATTTTTCACTGCATGATAATCTTAATAATAATTAGCAATTATAATATTCTCTTATTATATACTCAAAAAAATCCTTCTTGATGAAGGTAAATGACATCAATAGTGGAAGTTGAATTTCAAATTTTTATTCTAATTTTATTTTCAGTTTGGCTTATCATCATCTTTTTGATAAACTTTTTAAAATTTATTGTAATTAAAGAAATGAAATAAACTTACTTTAAATAATATTTGTTCAAACTCTAAAGTTTTAAGTTTTTTGAAGTTAAATATGCATTTAGCATATATTTGTTTATTTTAGCATGCATATACACACTTATTATAAATTAAACACAGAAATTTTATATTTAAAATCTATTAATTTTAAAGCTTGTTTCAGGGAATATTAATATATATCAAATTAAATCAAGTGAGACATGACTGTATTCAAATGATATAAAATTTTTGTTAAGTAATCTTATTTTTAAATAAAATTATGAAATAAAATAAAAGAAAAATATTTTGCTGAATTTTTGTCTCTGCTTTTCATAAATAAATATTTTATGCATATAAGAAAATTTAATATAATAAAATCTCAATTATCTGTCAATGTATGAACCAGAATATTAACAGATAAACAAAAAGACAGTTGGTAGAAGTTTTTCTAAAAATTATTTATACAACAGTAATGAAATACATCATAGGTATTTCCAAAATAAATACAATTTAAAATAAAACAAATATAAAACATAAGTTCAAACACATTCAAGCCTAATTTTTAAAATAATCATTATTCTGATCTTTTTCACTGCATTCCTAATCTTTATGAAAAAGAATGCTGCAAATTTTTTCCAAAAGCAGCATTTGTGTTGCCTCCTACTCCTTCCTGCATCTCAAACCATTTGATGCACTTTAACAGTATAATCTCAGCTTCACTGTGACTAATTATGGCTTTGAATCTATCAATTTATTTGTCTTCCTCACTTTTGCATTAGTTCTTAATTACTTTTAAGTGATAAAGAACCAGTGATAAAATAATAGGAGAAATAATGAGGCATAAGTAAGTGCTGCTGTTACTATTGTGCAACTTTCTGTACAGACAATTGGTGCATTCCAATGTGTGAGAGTTTACAGAAATTGACAGATAATTAAGTGAGATAATTTTAAAGTTTGACTTTTAACAGAAATTATTTATTATTATTATTTTTTAAATTTTTACTAGTTTATAGAAAACTGAAAAAATTACAAAAAAAAAATAAAATATTCTTTGTTGAATTCTTTTTTTATTTCTAAAGGTTAATTTGAAAATGTTTAATTTAATTACAATTAAACATTATTATTATCATCATCATCATTATTATTAAACATCATTATTAAATTAAATTAAGAAAAATTATTATATTTTCATTTATAATTTAATACATAAACTACTTACTTAATATTGTATCACTAGATAATATCTTTAATGTTTTTTCTTTCTGAAATGAATAAAAACTAGATAAAATAAACATGGCAAAAACTGATAAATAAATATTTTTTAAAATATTTGCTATATTTAAAATATTTTGAATTTTATTTGAATAAACTTCTTTTTAAATATTTTATAAATAATTTTTTACTTTTACATTTTTCAGATATTTTTAACATAAAATTTTAATTTGTCGTTTGTTAATTAATTACTTCAATCTTTGCAAATGTAATGAATATTTAAATAGTACACATCTCAAATTAAAACTGAAAATATGATAACATAATGCTAGACAACACCAAACATATAAAGCATTGTCTAAAAACTAAATTATCAAAACTCCAATTTAGCTTTTACATTTTTTAAACTCTTTCTTCACTAATAAATTCATACTCATTATAGATTTTGCTAGGATCACAACAGGATTGTTAGATAATGAGGAAGAGGACCAAAAATATCCAAATCAAATTACTTATGAAAATTTCTGAGGACCAATCTGCCAATTTTACTATACTTTTTGTTAACATGCTTTTGTGTAATCAGATAATAATGCTGGATTACCTTCTTGGCTAGAACTTGGTTAATTAATTTAATAAATGCTATGTAATTTTCGGGCTAAAGATTCTTTATTATTATTATTAGTTTTTAAATACAGATTTGATCAGTACTTAAATTGATTCTAATTCAAATTAATAACTTTTATAACCTTTTATTATAATTTTAAAAGAATAAATGAAAGTAAATGTACTACATCCAAACTCTTAAAACAGCAGATTGACACTTACTGAGAGTTTTCCTAAAGTCACCGATGGAAACTCATTACTAGTTAAAATATAGTGACATTATTGCTGAGCTTGCTTAGGAAAATCTTTCATTGAGCTCATATGTCTCAGAAATGATAAGCTCTGTGACTAATAAATGAGAAGATACATCAAAACTCATCACTTACACAGTTTAACCTTTAAGAACGCTTTGGAGAAAGCAATGACTTTATGAAAACTCTCACTGTCTCAGCCATTTCTGTCATTTTTGAGATTTATAATAATAGTTTTATTATATAATTACTATTAATTACCATTTTAGAATGATCATGAGTAACATCTTTTGTTTTTGATGGTAATTCACTTCTATCACTATTGCTTTCAGAAGAGCTTCCAGAGTTATGTTTTGTCCTATAATTTATAGAAACTTCCAATTAAAAATCTTTTGAAACACTAAAAAAATTATTTTACATACAGATTTATTAAGCATAAACATGAAAAATTGCTAGAAAATAACTTATAAAAAAACTCTAATATTTAAAATGTGAGACCTTTTATAACCAAGTTTATAAATTATATTATTAACTGAGAATCCAAATGGATATATTAAAAATTAATTTTAGTAAGGATTAAATTAATCTACTTTAATCCTTACTAACATTAGTAGGATAGAGACAAAGGAATTATTAAAAATAAATTCCAAATAAGTTGTCAACAGCTGTCAAAGTGATATGAACAGGATAATTACCCCATTGGTTGATGCATTGGTAACCCATTTCATGAATAAGTGATGTTTAAGTGAATAGATACATTTTCAAGAAATTCTACTGGAAGAATTTTCTAAACTGAGGTTTAAAAGTCAATTCCGAAAATGTTGAAAGAAATATATGGATGTATTAAAATATAAAGAAAATGGTAACGTCTGCTGAGGAGGAACATTGGCCTAAAATGCTTGTTGTAGTGGCATACAAGATTACATTACATTACAATAAATATATTTATTGTAATGTAATCTTAATTGGAAATTGTATGTTTCTCTTCCCTCAATATAACAAGTCCTAGTTCACAAGAATGTCCAAAGTGGATACAAGCATAATGTAAGTAATTAAGGACAAGAAGCACATATTAACAAAAAATATACTGTCTAAAAGTACAATGTCCAATATATGTGTCCGCAAAGTTTCACTAATTTATCTTGATGTAAGATATAAGAAAATTTAAATTTAAAATAAATCCACACAGATCATTTTCATATTAAACTTATCATTAGCAACCTGTTATCATATATTGATCCCCTACTGTTTATTTTTCTCAGTATCTTACCATCAAAATAAATTAACAAAACTTTACAGACCTATAGATCAGACATTGTAATCTCAGACTGTATATTTTGCAACTTGTAACAGGCTCTGCTAGGGAGAGCAAATATTTGAACAATTATTGTTTTGATTGTTTCAAAAAGTAAATGTGTATGTAAAAATCTGTAAAAAAAATAATGGATTTAGCCCTTACATAGTTGTATCACCTAGTTTTGATTTGATCAAAATCAGCAATTGCTTTTCTGAGATATCCAGGAAAAACCACAGAAAGTTTTTGAATTTTTAATCTACAGCCCACACAAGTTCAAACCTGAAATTTGGTGTGGGGTAGTTAAGGGCCAGGGTTCATCCACCAAAGTTTTGGCCCAATTGCAGATTTAGGCAGGAACACCACAGGCCATAGTAATACCCTTTGTATACTAATATAAAAATGTCAATGCTCAATAGAAACTAAAAATAATTTTGATGATGATAATCTAAAATACAGGTTTAAAAATTTCTAAAATTGAATTATTAAAAATAATTTGCTATTTAATATATGTATGTGTGTGTAATAGTTCTTACCTTCTTTCAAACTTTTTTGCCAACTTATTCTTCTTCAAAAGGTAATCCTGAACATAATTCATGGGTAAATTTTCATTTTGTTTATTTTTTAAATTCTTCTGTGTAATAAACTTATGATTTTGTTCTTCTTCTAAGTACAGTAAAGGTCCATAATTATTTTCAGAATATTGTAAAAGAGGAATATTTTTATTTTTTACTGATTTTGATTTTAATAAATCAGGTAGCATTGATCTAATATCTGAATTTTTCTTTTCTGTTGTAGCATTTAAATTCCAATGGCTTATTAATTCATATTGTGACTTAAGAGGCAGTTTAAATAATTCTTCTTTTGGTTGCTTGTTTGGAATATTTAAAAGCTGATAACAAAAATTATTATTTTCTTTAAATTTCTGGTTTATTGTTAAAAACTGATGATTTTTATTTTGAAAACAAGTTTTGTCTACACTTTTATCATATGTCAAAACATGTGGAAATGAAATTATTTTATTTACATATTCTTCAAGTTTGAATGAAAATGTAGGATCCTTCTCTGTAGTAGTATTATCAAAGCAAGAGTCAATAGAAATTTCAATTCCTGATAATTCATCTAGAGTGTCGGGAGTAACATCTTTACCAGAATCCATTTCTTCCTCAACAGCATGCAATGATCGATGAGAATGTCTAACATTATGAAACAATTTATCATTCTTGCAATCATCTAATGACTTTATACCAATAAGATTATGTCCAATATCTTTTTGTGTTCTGTTATGGTTTGAGTTTAATTTTAAATTACTTGAAACTCTTATCTCAGATGATTCTTTATTCATTGTTATGTGTTCATCTGTCTTCCTCTGTAACGAAATTTGTTCAGCAACATTATGATTAGTATTTTTTGTTTGATTTTTACAGCTTGAATTTGACACATTAGCATCTATAATTTCTGTCTGAGTATTTGCATTTGAAAGATAAGTTCTTGATTGCTGTGACTGTACACTAATACATCCAATAGCACCAGCAATAAAGCTTAAACCCATTTGCTGAAAATTGAACAGTATATAATTCTAATTTCTTAAATACAAATGAAAAACATAAACTTAAAAATTTCAAGACAATACTTACTTCAGCCATATTTCTTAATTCTTGACAGAAAGTTCCTTGAACAGTTGAAGTTAACATCTCACGAACAGCATGTCTGTTTTCCCTATTACTAAATTCATTTTCTTCATTTACTGAAGTTTGAATGCCAATATTTGTATAAGTTCTGGGTAACTTATTATTTCTATCTGCAAATAAATCTTCATATCTGGTAAAATTAACTCTTTTCAAGCATTTCCCATTCTTATTGGCTTTACTTGTAAGCTTTGATGTTGTAGGATAAACAACAGGTTGATTGGAATATGAGGATAATTTATTTCCTTCATTTGTTGAACTAGTTCCACTTCCAGAAGGTAATTTTGTAACTGATGTTAATGAACTAGTGTTTTCAGAATTGACTGCAGTTTCAAACTCTTGAGTTTTGACTTTTGGAAGAGATAAAAATTTACTAACTCTTGAAGATGAATAATGTATGTCATTCTCATTCTGATCTTGAAAAGAATAAACATCATTCTGCATCAACCTAAAAAATAAAATGAGTATAAAGGTACTTTAAATAAATAAACAAATATATATAAAATTTATTTTAAAATTTATCATTNATTCAGTACATGCAGATATAATTTTATTATTATTTTGGCTTTTTATCCATATATCTTATATGAATAAAATGTATAATATAAAAAATAAAACTGATTAATAAAGAAATTATTCATATCATACATGTAATATAAATCTTCTATTTACTTATTACTTTGATGATTAAATATATGAAGAGTTATAAATGAAAGTTTTAAAATATATGTAAAAGATTATTAAATAAGCCATATAGAAATGATGATTTAATTTTTTAGTTAAAAAGTAATTAAAATCAAATTAGTTATTATTCATTAATTTTAATCGAGTACTAATAGATTAACCAAGTTACATGTTATTCTAACAAACCTGATTGAAATATTTCATCTAATTAAAAGATTAACAATTATAATAAATGACACACTTTCATATATTTAATAATTAAATAATTAATGAATTATTAATAATTTAGCAATTTGTATAACATAGAATAAATTTGAAAAAAAAGCTTTTTACAAAACTGTTCATGCTGACTGAATATAATGCTTGTTAATTTATCTAAACATTGAATTCATATAATGGATTAAGTAAATTTTACATTTTATTTTTAATTATCTATAATTATTCTGATACAGACATTTCAATGACTACATCTTTAAATCATTAGCATGAAGACAAGTTATAATGCTAGATAAATTACAGAAATTTTAAATAAAATATTATAGCTCATTATGTTTCATTACAGTACTTTTTGTTAAAAACAAATTTTAATAATACAAAAACATACCTTTGCATAGGAACAGCTTCATTATTTGGTAATTTGTCCCTTACATCCTCTGATGAAATACTATTCATATTCTTTGGTAATGCTTCATTAAGTTTCAAATGAACATTATTAGCAATTTCTGACCTTTTAACTCTCCAATTATTCAATTGTTCTTTTAATGACACAATACTTTGTTTCAAACTAGTACAAAGATTGACTTCTTTGGTGGGTTCCACATAAGTACAGAAATCAGATTTAAAATTATCATTTGTCTTCTCAGACAGATGTGAATTACTATCAGAAACAATTTTAGAATCAATCATTTCACTATTATGTATTAATGTTTCTTCAATGTATTTTTCATTTTTATCATCATTTTTTTCATCAACATGTTTTACAAATTTAAAATTTGTTTTCAAATGATACAAAGCATATAAAATTTGAATTGGATGAATTTCAACTTTTAATTTTGGTCTTTCATTTAAGATATCATTTTCTAAAGAGCATATAGGATAATTTTTTGCCCAATAACATAACCAATCAATTTTATCTTCCATTTCTTTAAATTTAGAATCTACATATTGAAGAAATAAATTAATTTGCTGTTGATGAAACTCTTTTGAATTGGTAGAAGATAGTTCTAAATTGGACCCTTCTCTTATTATTTCTTTATTTGAAAAATCTTTCTGCAAATTTTTAACATTTTTTATTTGAGGAGTTGATGAGGATTTTGGTTTGAAAATCTTTCTTGTTTGTTTATTGCTATTTTTATGCTCTTCTTTCCAACAATAATTTTTCCATAAGTTGCTTATAATAGGAAATATAAATTGACTTCTTTTCTTAAATAAGCTTTTATTTTTTTGATATATTTGCTCCCTTATATTTTCAGCATAAAGTGGGATTAAGGGTATATTTAATCTATCTGCATTATCTTGACTCAAATACTTAAAAGCATTTATATCTAAAAACATTTCTAAAAATTCCACATATGAATCATCCAATTCAAAAGAAAATAAACTAACTATGTAAGCATCATCTAAGGTTGAAGATATATATGAATTTTTATATGTACTGGTACCTAACAAAGTTTGAAATCTATCTGTTTTCTCTCTTTGTCTTTGACATTTAAGCAAAAATATATCATAAAGAGATTTTAGTTTCATAGAATCATTCTTACTGTTATTTTCAGCATTTGAGATATTATTTTGCAATGCTTTTTGAAAAATAATTTTACTGTCTTCATCAATTTTTTCATTTTCATTCAACTCACTTCCTTCTTCCTGAGAAAATAAATTCCCTTCAACACTATTTACATTTATAGTTTTCCATTCTTCAAGTAATTCAAGTAACAATTTTTTAATATTTGTGCTAAGTGTATCATGATTAAAAAAAACAGTTGCCAGGTATTCAGTTATCTCTTCTGATGGTTGTAATTCTAGAACAACATTTATTATTATATGTTCAAGAACATCATTTTGAAAAAATGATTGAAATGGATAAAGATTAACAGCCCATTTGAGTAAGTCTTTATAAACAGCATCATGAGTGTAATTTGCCTAAAATATAAAAATATAGATAGAAAATTGAATTTAATGAAGTTTAATTAAATCTTAAGATTTAATATTGTAATTTAGAAAAAATATTTATTTTATTGCCATCCTATTTCATATCATATAAATAATTCATTTGTTTCAGATCATTAATAAATTACTCCCAACTTATAAAAACTGATTCCTAAGTTAAAAAAAATTAATTAAATTCATATGATTCATTTCTCTCTTATAATTCATTACTTTTGTTTGCAATTATTTTTACAACATTAAAGCTTTTTTACATAATGTCAAAATTCTTTCTGCCTATACATATATACAGTAGTGTCTCAATAGTTCATGCTATTCAACCCTGAACTATTGAAAACTCAAAGTATATGGAATATATATACAACAGAAAAGCATTAAATAATGTTGTGTTTATTTTATAATAACAAACATGACATTAAATATTTTATCTGTATTAAATGCTTATTTCAGGTAGCCAACCATTTAAATTTACCATGAAGGAACATTTTCATCTTTTATTAGGACAGCTTCAGCTTCCTGATAAATATCAGTCACCATTCAAACTAAATTTGAACTTTCAACCATTTTTGAGGATCAAATGATATTTAAAAACTACACATCTTCATTCTAAATTTGTAAAAACAGACTTCACATATGTACAGTATTAACTAAAAGTATTGACTTTTTATTCTTTTTTATATCATACTGCCAAAAAAAGTTAATACTTTTAGCAGCATAGAAAAAGGTTAATATTGCATGTGTGTGGAGTTTGCTTTTACAAATTTAGAATGAAAATGTGTAGTTTTTAAATATTGTTCAATCCTCAAAAATAGTTGAAAGTTTAAAGTGACTGATATTCATCAGGAATCTGAAGCTGTCCTAATAAAAAATGAAAAAAATTCAAACAATTAGCTACCTGAAATAAGCATTTAATATAGATAATATGGAGCCAGAAAACCATGAAGTAATATTCGATGACATTAATTAATTAACACAACAATAATTATTATTGTGTAGATAATAATAATATATTGCACTTAAAATACATGATGTCCTGTACAATAGGGGGCAAGTGGCAACCATATCATTTCACAACACAATAAATTAAAAGTCAATGTTAGATCTTACAGTTTGCTTACAATTTCAGCCTATGGTGTCTCATCAAACACTTGATTTGAATTACTTAAATATGTAATTTTTAACATGCTCTAGTTGCATACATGTGCTTTGGCTTAAGGATGGTAGTACCTTGAATTATCATGACTCTATGTATATATATTGGCAGGCAGAGAACTTTTACTATTTTACTTCTTACCTATATTAAACATATAGAATGTATTGTTTTTTTATTAAATATGCACATCATATAAATCTTATTANATAAATTAACATAAATAATAAATTATAATTAAATTAAACAAATTAAATTATTGTTATTTATTACGCTTTCTTGGTTATTCTTTCATATTAATTTTTAAGTTAACAAATATATAATTTGAGTGTTCTATTTACTTTCTACAATTTACTCTTAAGTTATGAATAGAGTTATGAATTTAATTATAGAGTTAATTTGTCAGAACATAACCTCATGTATAAGAAGTTATTAAATATAGAGATTTAGTTTAACATACTTATTCCTAATCTCTAAGAACTAATTAAGTTATAATGTGAAAATCACCTATACATATAGAGTTCCTTAGGATTTTAAGGAAGATATTAAGTAAAAAATATATATTTATTATTCTAAGTATTAAATCAATGTTTAAATATAATTATATAAAATAAAATAAAAATATATTTTTAATTACCCAATTTCTTTTTCTGCTTGATTGTGAAAAAATGAAATTATCTTGAATTTTACGATAAGACTGTGAAAAATTATCTCTTACATGCATCATCCAAAGTAGAGCACAAATTAATTGAAAATAATAAAAACAAATATGAGAAAAATTATCATTCTTGAAATTATCAAATGAATATTGAACTTTTTCTTCCACTTTTAATGTTTCAATAATTGAATATAATTGGTGAATTGGATAATCGGGAATCTATTAAGAAAAATTACAGAAATTATTCACTTTAAAGTATATTTACAAATCATAAAACAAAACAATTTTAAAATCTCACCATATTTTGAATATTTTGTAGGAATGTAACATAATCACAAATAATTGGAACAATTAAATTTGAAGCTCTTAGAAGAAAAATAATATTTTGAATAATGTCAGAAATTTTATGTCTCAAATAAATTTCTGAATTAACTTTTTCTGTTTTATCAATCTGAAATAAATAAATCAATAAAGAAAAATAATTTAAATATATAAATAATAA